CCATGGTTCGATCCCCAGCCACCGACGCATTCCTCCTTTGCCTCTCTAAGCCAATTATAAGACTGGTAAAGAGGAAGGGTTGCGGAGGCATGAGGCTAACAACCTCGTCCAATAAATAAAGAGACACCACTGCTGTGGAAACTTCAAGCTTCTCGCTTGTAGCCGTATATTTTACATTGGGAAAGTAAAGGAATTTTAAACCGAATAGCGATAAAGAAGCATTACCTGTATAACTAACTTCCTTTTATCCTTTTCTATGCGTTATTCGACCATTATACACCGTTAAAGCATGCAGACCAAAATTGTCATTTTTCCAGGTGAGAATGAAAATCCAACCTTTCATGATTTACAACTTCATACGCTTTTACCTTATGATGTCAGAACTTTACTAAATGCCATAAAAAATATAAAGAGATGAAAAGGACCGAAAATTACATGAGAAAAAAAAGAAATTGTGAAATAGATTTTACATGAATTTCGCCTTCGTCATTCATAATAATGCATATAAAAGTACATCGCGATTCTGTTTATCGATTTAAGTTTTGTTATAGGAATAACTAAAATCTACGAAACTATCCATTATGGAACATGTCTAAATTACATTAAGAAAATACAATCAAAATTTTCTTCTCACTTAATATTCAGTGAATTCAAGACCGACGGTTTTTACAGAATTAGATGATACTATCGTTTATTTCGTCAGTCTCTCATCAGCTGTTTATAGCCTAAAGCCAAACTAATTAAGTTTATGTACAAAACAAATTTGCCAGTCGGCAGGTCAGTGGTAGAACGCTTACCAACCATGCACATGATCCGGTGAGCAATCCTCGGTTGGCGCACTCTTTTGTACCTCGTTAAACCAGTATCAAGGTCAATAGAGAGGAAAAGTTGGGTGTAAGGTCTGCAAATCCGCTCCCTAAAAAAAGCCACTACTACTGAAATTTCAACAATGCAAGCTTGATGCCCTGTATTCCGTTCGAAACGTAAAGGAACATGGGTATTATAGTATCCTTGTGACGGTAACATGAAATTGGTTAACAGGTGACTTCAGAATTAATAAACATTGCCTAGAACCTAAACTACATGGATCAGAGACTTGACGCATCATAAAGAGCATCTTAAACATACTATAGACCTTCATCAACAGCTGTCTTCACTCAATACTGTAGATCAGATGAGCAGAAAAAAGTCAGCAATACGGATCCCTGAAAGCGAACCAATTAGAAACCGATTGTGAAACAAAAAGGCAGGAAGAAATGGAGATGGATTGGGTGGCCATACTCTGAGGAAAACATCAAGTGACATCACACATCAGGCAACTGTTCGAGTTGAACCCGAACGGAAAACAGCGAGTTGTTTGTCAATACAATGGTGACATGGAGTAGGTCATGTGAAGAGGAGATGAAAACATGTGTGCAGACTTGGAGCAGAGAAATAAACGCAACAAAGACGCGCGGCTGAAGCTCTATATTCCTCTAGGAGTTAAAAGAAACAATAATAATTATAATAGAACTTAGACCTACACAGTTTATATACCCAGAGAGTTCAAGTTTAAACAAAAGTAAAGTAAAAGCTTGGATACAATACTGAATGGAATTGCGTTAATTATAATTCCAAGAGGTGGATAGAATTATGCGTAACTAATCAGTTTGCATAAAAATGCAATAAGTTATTCTCAAATGGCAGAAATAAAAGACAAACAGAATCAGATCCATAAACAAAGAGGAGGAAGCGTTTGAAAACAGGGATTTTACTCTTTTTTTTATCTTGATTATAGCTTGATTCAACACAGCATTTTAGGCACAAATATGGAATTTTCGGCGTGTGATATCGGTAGCCCAAATTTAGCTGGCCGATAACTGATATCAGGTGTGTGTCAGCAGAGGATTGAATTTCAGACCATGTGTATAGTCGGCGAGAGTCCCAACCACTGTACCACCGACGCGCTAATTAGGGAATCAGATTGAAAAAGATAATTGATATTAGATAGTTGGAGGCAGTCGACCACAAGTAGCCCTCCTTAATCTAGGTTTCGGGCTAGTTGACAGTCACCTGTCAGTCAACAAGGCGTATCTGCAACCATGATAAAACTCATGTCCCATCTGAGATTCAAATCCACATCAACCAGTGAGTATTGCAGTCAGAGACGTTATCACTTAGCTATTCGGGCTGGCTCGCGATTGATCTCCAGTGGGTGACCTGCAGTGGATACTTTGATTGGACACTAGTCAGTAACTGCAGTGAGGTGTCTAGTCCTATCTTCAGTGTAGACTGAAATCTATCAGTCAGGTTTGCAATGTAGCCACCATGCTACTAGGTGGCTCGCCATCATGGTGCACATTGACTTGATGATATAAGGTGATTAGAGGCAATCGGCCACAGGATGACTGATGACAGTTATTCTTTATGAACAACACATGTATCAAATCTTAAGTGTTTGACATCAACTACTTCAGCCGACTTGAGCAGAATTGAGATCTGCTGTCTGCTGATAATTTTAAATGATTTCAGAATGTTCATCTCATGACTGAAATCAGAGGGATGAAAGCATTTACTGCCTTGAAACATGGAATTTTCAGGATCTGTTTAAGAAACTGATGTGTCCTTCTAAAGCTACCAAACCCACATACAAAAATGCACACAATCAGAGTTAACATAAGAGGGGTGACTTCCGACTTTTGAGTACACGAAAGGGTATGTTTCAAGTTTGATCAAGGATTTATAGCATTTAAAGAACCATCATTGAAAATCAACTGGGGAGTACTGGAGAGCTCTTTTATCCAAGCTCATCGGCAGCGCACACCCACAGCCAATGTTCGGATTTAGAAGCTTCAGGTTACAGGGAGAGCTCGTAGACTATTCAGCTACTGGGACCTGACTCATAGGCCAGCAGATGAATTCTAACCGATATCAATCCACGATAAGACTGCAAGCAAACTGAATCCCTACACACAAACTCCTGAAGATTTATCTGATGCTCTCTAGTGAATAGTGATTTCTGAATGAAATTGTCTGGAGTTCGAGTGAGAAGTTATCACCAGTGGTATCCGCTCGGTAGGGAGTGATTAGGAATATTCGCCACCGATGTCACTGGCTTTTGCAAGTCGAGTTAAAATCACGAATTGTAGTCGAAGTTATAATTCACAGGTTAGCCACTGAGTCACGTCTCAGTGGTTGAATGGTTAACGAGCCTGTCTTGTAACCAGAATATCTGAGTTCTAAGCCAGGTGGTGGGTGTGCACTGTCGATTAGTCCCAAACGAGAACGTAACAGATGATAAGTCAGTTTTTTTCTGGATGGCTTTTAATGGTTGTTTCTCTAACTGATATCAATATGTGATCAAACTTGAAACAAATTAGATCCTTACAAAGAAACTCTTGAATAGGACATGTTTCTTAATAACATATTCGTTTGTTTATTAGATGTATCACACAGTCAGTGAAACAGTATTATTTACTGGATGACACAGTTTAGAACAAAATTTATTGTTCCTAATCATATCATCACTTATAATCACATGACTTTGAAACTTGAGTTTTGTAGTCTTCTTTGTTTTCTCCTATTTGTCGTCCCTGGGTAGTAGAATTTTCCAGACATCTGGTTGGAGAGGTGTTGAATCATTCCTACTACATGTATTTGCAATTGATTCGATAAATGAAGCTTCTGTTATCAATCTCTCCCTCCACCGTGTTACATTAGATTTTAAAACTGTCATCTTATCCCATCCCATCCTATTGTGTGGCTGTGTTTTGGTGTAACTGCATGTAGTTCTATAGCTGTACTATTCTCTAGATTTCTTATCTTATTCGGGTCAACCAAACTAGATTTTACTAGATTTTTATGCTCGGCTAGTCTGACTAACTGTACCTATTCTACCAGTTCGAACCATGTATTTTACCTGACTATCATTTCAGCACGGTATTAGATAAACTAAATTGCTTTGTCTCTAATGGACTCCACAACATTGATCCTTTAATCGGCAAAGCTTGTTTCTAATCGAGTTTGTCAGTGGTTTGAATACCAGTCCCTTTTTATTCCTGCTTGCCTTGTTAAGAATTCTGCGTAAGGTTTCCGGAGTTCTTTCGTTGTATGGAATTATCACTAATGATTAGGATTCCTTATTGTTGGTGTTATCATTATCTTGCGCATGTTTGGCATACATGTGGTCATTAATATTATTATTTTCACTGTCACTTCTATCATTATTTATTTTATTTTTACATTTCCCTACATATTTCCTAACTAATTTATCAGGGTATTTATTATGTTTCAAGGCCTCTTTTATGTGTATCACTTTCTGTCTTAGATTTTCCTTGGTACTACGTAGTTTTGTGCTCTGTCACTTAAACATTTCACCAATCTTATTTTTACTGACATAGGATGGGTTGATCGTAAGTCCAAATACCATTTTGAATGTGTGGGTTTCCTGTAAACACACACTAGTGTGTTTAACTTCCTATCCTCTTTTATTTTTACACTGCAATCTAACATTGGAAGCTCCCCTTTCTGACTTTCCAATTCATAAGTGAATTGAATTGCCTCCACATTTGAGTTAATGTGTTCTATATCCTGTGTTCTAAGGGTGATTATAATTGATATGATTATGAGCAATCAATTTTGTTAGAAATTTTGTCATCCAGTAAATAATAAGACTGTTTCACTCACTGTGTGTGATACATCTAATAAACAAACTAATATGGAATTACTTACTACTACAGTGCCCATGTTTTACACGTATAATAATGTTCCTCAATAAATTGGAACCAACTTAGCTAAGTGTTCTATGTGTTCTGTAGACTGTTCTCGTAACATTTTGACCTTTACAGTCAAGTTTTTTTTTATGAAAACGGGATCGCCCGTTAACAGATAAAGATGAAATTTGAAAGGAAAAGCGAATGTGTTCCAAAGAATTAATTATTGAATAAATCTTATGATTTGTTTATAATTCCTTGTACAGATATTATATCCTGACTGTCGACTTGTTTAACACTTTCTAACAGGTATCACATATTCTTGAATATTCTTATCCTGGGGATAGAACAATTTTGCCAGTTACAATGGAAACTGCTAGACAGGTGAGTAATCTACCTTGACAGGATGATGAGATTCCTCATAAATCAGATTGATTGACGAGTTTTAGAATTTTTACAACTCCACATCTTAAAATTTGTGTTTTTCTAGGGATTTCCACTAGATTAAGTGTAGAACTACCTGTTGAAAATAGAGAAGTTGGTCTGCTTCGACGATCACATTTTTTTGGTTATGGTCTGCATGCAAAAAGTGATCTCTAGGTTCCAGTGTATAGCTTAAGAAAACTCCTTTGTGGCACGTGCTATCACAAAACATTCCAAATGTCGGAGAAAATACAATTATTCTTCAATATTTTATCGATAATGGAAGCAGAACCACTTGGTGGAAAGTCCTTAGGGAAACTCAATCCTTTGTTTTGATCTTATTATTATTCCCTTGGCCTCCGAGTGGAATATGCGTCTGCAACAGTACACCTCTGGTTTGTTTTATTTTCTGCCGTCTTCTTCATCTTGCTAGCCACACGATTCGTCATAACCTATCATCTTCTCCTCCTCACCACAACGATCTCCTCCATGTCACTCTCGCACTGATGACCCACCAGTCGATTTCCATTCAACTTTTACTCGAGCGATGGATGGCCTGCATTTGGCGCTATGCCATTCGACGGCCTCCTGTTATGTTGCCGCTGCTGAGTGGTTAATAGTAGTTTTTCCCGTCGCCAAATTGTTATGTACTCGTCGCCAAATTATTGTTATGTACTGCTCGAGAATTTAATAGTCCTGACGCAAGAAGGCGGAAATCAGAAGACCACTAGGTTTGTGATGATACTTCTATTTTCCAAACACAAGGAGAATGCAATAAGTGGTATCACACCAAAGAAAGTAGGTAAGTCACACAAATTGTGAGAGCGAAATATATATGAATGTCCAGACAAGTGTGTGAACAAATCAATAGACAGTCTTAACATGAATGGCTAATTATAATGGAGTGTCGATCCAAATATACATAGCAAAATATAGCAGACATGTCAACAACCACCATATATGGATATATGTCACCAAGCAACGGACTGTCAACAAATACTCATATTATATATAATATAAGGGGAATATACATTGTTAAAGGAGACAGGTTCATCAAAATGAAATGGTCACAGACTAAGAGAGCAACAGAAAGAGAGATTACCATACACATATATATATATATATATATATATATATATATATATATGTGGATACATATCACCTCCTCAGCGTATGCCTGATCAATCCATCTCCATTTTATCCTACATATGCATTTGTAGAGCAATCGGCGTTTTCTTGTTAGTCTGTTCCCAACCAGCCAGCCTGAGTTTCTCGTCGCTAATTATTTCTGACTGCCCGGTTGGCCATTTGATCTTCTGTATCGAGCCAGTCAGCGAAGGTGACAGCTGTTGATAAATATCTGTAACCCGTTTAAAAAACCTTCTTGTGACACGCTAGTTAAGTTTCTGACTCGTATAGAAGCACTAACACTGACTGACTTCACATTTGTGTTGAAAATCTGAATCATGTTGTTTATGCTGCTAACTGAATTAGTGCAGAAGACTTCCGAACTGGTTTCAGGTTGATGAAGGTGTATCTCACCTTTCCGGTTCTGGCTGACTGGCTGGTTTTGGCATTTTCATCTGTGCCACCGCCTGTGATTGAAACGACACCTCCTAGATAAGTGAAGGAAGTAATCTATGTCAAATTTCAACTATTGATGGTGGTTGGAACTGGTTGTCGTTGTTGTTGCTTTTAGTTGGTTGGCTGATTATCTTCATCACCTTCATTCTCTCTGTGTTCACCTGGAGTCCTGTATTTGCCTCATGTCAGCCTATTCTGCCTTTTTTGTTGCTTTTTGCCTGGACGTCTTCAAGTTTGTGTGATATACGACACAGATCGTTTGCAAAATCCATGTCTTCATGAGTCTCCTTATCGCTGGTACAGTGTCTTCTTGTCTTCTCACTCCCTGTGCACATTCTGATGCGTAATTCAGTCCACTGCAATTAGGAATATCATCATCGGTGATAGTCGGCAGGTAGCTAGCTAGCTTGTCTTCCTGCTCTGTTCATTCCAGCGGTTTCATTGAGTTTTCCATTGTGGATTACTTGACATGTGGCATTTTCACATAGTCATCTGTTGAATGAGGTTGATTTGGTGTCGAAGTAGTCTCCAAATTATTTCCCGCCCAACTCTGTCTGTCGGAGACCTTTTTGAAGTCAATAAAGGAAGTTGAGACAGAGGCAGACCACCATCTTATGCTGTGTTCTGTGATGACGACGCGTAGACTTGCGATTTGATCAGCACATGATTTGCCTTTTCTGATTCCAGCTTATTATGGTAGGTGGGGCGAATTTTTGCATCCAGTGAATATTTCATTCTCTTTAGGATGATGCGACTTAGTAATTTACTTGACGTGGGCAAGAGCATGATTCCATGCCAGCTTTTGCGCAGGCCTAGGTCGCCCTTCGTAGGTAGCTTGACAAGGTAGGCAGCCTTTCTTCCAATCAGTAGGTATTTACCCTTCCTTCCAAACTTTCTGTAATAATGACGTGAGAACATTTGCCGCTGTCTCTGGGTCCATTTCCAATGCTTCGGCGGAAATTCTGCCTAGCCCCGCTGCCTTCACTAGCTTGATCTCACTTAGGATTTCTACTTTCGCTAGAGGATTGGTGTCCACTGGCATTTCCGAGCTTGCTGTTAGTGGTGGCGGTATTTCTGGGCGAGTTGCAAGTGAAGGCCTATTGGACAGGCCTTTAAATTGATCAGCCCATTGTTTGATTTGTTTCTCCTCCTTGGTTATCAGATTCCCTTTATCATCTTTTATTGGCTTCATCATCTGAGTTGATCTCTTTCCGTAAAGAATCCTGGTTATCTGATATGATGTTCTGAGGTCTGTTATACCTGCGGCCTGCCTGCCTGTTCTGCTTCACTCGCCAGCCAGTGTGTCGTAGAATTTTTTTTGCCTTTCTTGGAATTCTTCTTCACTTCTTTATTCAGTACAGGAAACACTGACTCAGACTCTTCTTCTGTCGCCCATCACTACATTGCGTCATCTTCTCTTTCACCACCCCCCTTTTTCTATTAGCTTCCATGCGTCCGTTGGGAGCCATTCCTTGTCTTCTATTTTCATTCTTCATGGGACAGTTGTATGTGTTTCCTTGAACATCAACTTCAGAGAGTTACGATGTCCTTGCACTCAGGTTTCCCCAGTGATACCACGTGTTGTCTCCGACTTTGCTCCTATCAGAGCTATAGTGGAGACACCTCTTGTAATTTTGTCCTTCATTTGCTGGATCCTGAGCGTACCTTGAGGCCTGTCTTCAGTTGTTCTAAAGGATTTAAGCTTCACCCTGAAGGTTCCTTGAAATGGATGATAGTTTGATCTCACAAATGCTTTCGTTCTCAACTTTGTATCCAACAGACTAGCTCCATCTCCACTTCCTTGAGCAGCATTGTGATGAAATCTATCTGGTTCGTGGTGTTGTCGTCAGGCGAAATCCATGTTGCTGTGTGTATATCCTTGTGTTTGTACACTCTACCTGCAGTCACCGAATCATTGAAAAAGCAGAAGTCTCATTCATTTGACCGAGTGGGAGTCTTTCGACATATGATTAGTTCGTTTCCTGTATTATTTTCTCCCAGATTAGCATTCCTATCTCCCATGAGGATTTTGATGTCACCATTTGTGATGTTGTACATTAATACTTGTAGTTGTTTGTGAAAATCTTTCTTCCTCTGCGTTGTTTGTAGCACTGTATGTAGCATGGCATGATAATTGTGACTTTCCTTTCTGCCTTTTGAGTTGAATCTTACTGTCATGATATTGAATGAAATTGATTCCCACTGCATTAGGGCTTTGGCTGTCACTGGTGACATTATGATAACCCCTCACTGCCCTAGTGTGCTCGTGATTGTCGTCTGGGCTACCAGATGTAAGTAGATTTCTGACTTTCTATTTGACAATTTTGACGCTCCACATCCATTCCACCTGCTTTCGCAGATACCCAGCATTTCTATGACATATCTCCATATTTCGTTAGCTACCCGGACAGCCTTCCTAGCCTCATATATTCTCGAGGATATTCCACGTCACCATTCGTATTTTCCCTTTCATCGGGAGAGCGAAGACACATCGGTTGGCTGGCTAACTGACTTCTCGAAGGCAAGCGTCCACCAGCCAGCCCACTATGGCATTTTGTACCTCCAAATCCAGAGAAGAATAAGATCTTTATATGATATTTTTGTACTTCTAACGTATTTCTTGTGTGTTGATGTCTCTCTAGCGGTTTGATAGGTTTAATAGTGTGCGGTTGCTAGGCCCACAATCCAAACCCTCCCTGTTTACCCGATCTTGGGACCGGCTAGAAAGCTAGAAAGCTAGTTGACCATAAGTATAACTAGTAATAACTGCCACAGTAGTATAATTTTGTTCTGAATCGTCAACATTTAACAATGACAGAGTTTATCACTAAGTGGCAGAGTGACTTTGCACAATCAATATGAAGCATGTAACACAAACATCCGTGTACGTGTATGTGAACTATATATTGAACTTTTGCTTCATTCTTGATTTTCTCTTCTAAGGACAGCGAAAGGGTCAGACAAATTTTGCTTCTTTCATCGTCATAAATTAAGAACTAGAATGACCTGAATTAATTTTTGTTAAGATAAGAAGAGAGAACAAACAGAAAAGTTCATAAGTTACTTAACACATGACTTCCGTAATTAATTTTAAAAAAAACAACTAATTATCAATCAAATTTTGAATAGTTCGATTAGTCAGAACCATTAAAAACCACAGAATAGTGGACACCTGTTTCATCCTTGTTTGGAATTCTTTAGGCTTAATGATCTTCAATCTAGCTCACCTTATAACCAGAAGCTCCTGATTTCGAACCCTAGCGGTGGGTGCTTACTGGGGAACAGTCCCGAACTAAGATGAATCAGCCAGCTGTGCAGTACTTCCTGTAGGTTTTCCAATGGTTTTCTCTCTCTAACTAAATGTCGTTCGGTAATAC